ACCACCACCACCACCACCACAACCTCTATCTCCACATCTGCGGTGCCCGCCACGCGCACCAACACTACACACACAATCCTGACACATCGACAAACACCAACTCCGCCAAGACCGACACCAGCAGTGAGGGCGAGGGCTACAACTGTCCTTAATGCGACCGCACCTTCACCTCACGCATCGGCCTGGCCGGTCACTTGCAATTCCATCTCACAGGGCCCGGCGAACCAATGCACAAACTGCTCCTACTGCAATCGCCTCCACTGTCCACACTGCCCTTGCATATTCAATAACCATATGTGTCTATGCGGCCACATGCGCATCCACGAAAACCTGCCGTAGACAACCGCCGGTTGTACCGCACCACCGCACATCCCCCTCACCACCATCTCAACAAACATCAACACCATCCACCGCAGGCACCCGACCGCAACCTCCAACGCAGTTGGGAGTGTGCGTCTCGTCTCGGTCTCCGTGCGACTCCTGTTTCACGGTTGACTCGATTCTGAGACTCCTGACGCGTCAAGCGGCGTTCATAGGATGGCTGCTGATTGACGCCCCAACCTGGTCCACGCAGTTTCGTCCAGTTGTGTGTGTGTGTGTTTGTGTGGAGTGTCTGATTGCTGGGCTGGGGGGCGGGTTGAAACAGCCCCTTCCACGGCACTCTCCCGCATGTGACAAATAGTCCGCTAAACTCCCGTTGAGTGAAATCCTGATGTGTGTGTGTGTGGGTGTGTTTCGGGGGCTGTCGTGATAATAGTCGACAACCAGAATGTTCCCAAATCAGGAGTCAAGGAAGATAGGTTGGTTGGACAAGCTCTACTAGAGTGAAAAGCGTACAACTGTTCTGCTAGTAGTCGCCACAAGCTGTCTCGCTTATCGGTATTGTTCCGAGTGTCAGTTCACGTCCGCAAGAGAGGCGTCCTGTGTGTGTATGCAGTTGCTGTTGCCACCCATTGATCTAATGTGTGCACCTGTAACCAATCAGCGAAGAATTTGCGTTGATTGGCCTCAGGACCACAGGAGGGTGGTGACAAGCGTCATATGGTGCGGACAGTGAATCGATCAAGAGTGTGATGCGGACAGAAGGACAACGACACAAGACAACGCTTAAGAGTACGGACAGCCACAGTATCCCTCGTCCAGACCGTAGGCGGCGTATAGCGACGTCGAAGGAGACATGCAAGTCTAATAAACACGAGTAATGAGACGGTCAGGGAAGTGAACATGACGTCCACTGCGGTGATAAGCAGGAGGCTCAGGATGAGTGTGTAACGGCTGGAGTACTGGAGGATGGTGACGAAGTGACTGTTGATTGTGGTCGAAATGGTGGATTAGGAAATATACCAGAGGGAGAGATAGAAGATTGCGGAGGTGGAGCAGGAGAAAGAGGACCAGAGGGGTCATCCGTAGAAGTGTCTGGGACGACAGCTTTGAGGCAGTCCACGCTCACAACTTCCTTCCGAGTTGGCGTCCGGAAACATTCTCATTAGAGGGAGAACAGGTACGGCGTTGTTGCGCTGCCATCTCAGCAAGGTTGATACCGAGACATAGCTGAAGGTGAACGATGGAGGATCTGGATAATGCGTCAGCTACCCTTATTGCCTGATCCGTCACTGTCGCTGAGGTGAACTGAGAGAGGTAGTCCAGCTAGGATGGACGACAGAGAATGCGGGTAGATTGATACAGTACTGTTTCAGGCTTATTGTGCTTTCATTCAGCCGATCATAAACCTGACCACCAGCAGCTGGGACCAGAAACACAAACATGCGCACAGACGCACCTGGCGCAGTTGATCTACCGCTGGGGTCTACCAGATGGGTCATATGCACTTTATAAAAACCGAAGTTTATCAGTGCCTCGACATCTGTCATTCTCTGTCGCTGAAGATTGGGTGTTTATTTAATCAGGAAAAGGTGCACATCGATCTATTGGCTTCACGAAGCAAACAAGCTCCAGATGGGTCATAAGCACATCATCGAACCGAATTTTATCACTGCCTCGCCACATGTTGACGGTTTCCAGTTGACGGGTTCCCCGGGAGTTGAGCCTGTCGGAAGTCGAGTGTAGGACGAAGGAAAGTGGCTTGTGATCCGTGTAGACGGTGACTTCTCGACCTTGAATTAACTGCCGGAAGTGCTTCATAGCAAGATAAACGGCAGGAAGTTCGCGTCCGAAAGTGCTGTAGCGGGTTTTCGCCTTGGATGGTTTTCTTGAAAAGAAGGCCAAAGACACCGTCGAATCTGGGAGACTTTGTTGGTGAACTACGCCAACAGCAACATTGCAGGCGCAAACCAGGAGGGAGATGGGATCATCGGGAGAAAAGTGCGTCAGGAGGGTGACGTCGACCAGGGCAGCCTTCACCTTGCCAAAAGCAGCGAGGGCGTCAGCAGACAGCTCGAACGAATGTTTGGGACTGGAGAGAAGGTTCGTCAGCGACAGGGTAAGGTCGTCACAGTGCGGGAGGAACCGGCGGTAAAAGCTTACCATGCTCAGAAATCGCTGGAGTTGACGTTTGGAGGAGGGAGAAGGGAAGTCACGGATGGCCGCAACCATAGCGGGAAGAGGATGGATGCCCTAGAGTCAACCATCTCCCCGAGGAACTCAAGAGAGTCAACACCGAAAACACACTTGGACGGGTTGATAACGGCGCCATATTTTTGAAAGTGGTCAAACAGCGTTGAAAAATGCTCCAGGTGTTCTTCGGCAGAGAAGCTGGCAATCAAAAGGTCATCAATATAGGCGTAGACGAAGGGTGTGCCATGAAGTACTCCGTCTACGATTCTTCGAAGGTTTTGGGAGGCGTTGCGGTGTCTGAGGCCCAAGGGCTCTCAGAATGACGAACGATGCCCATCTGAAGCATGTGTTCAAACTGGGCCTTGGCGGCAGCAAGACGTGCAGACGCGAGACGGCGTGGCCGAGAAAACACGGGAGGGCCTTGGTTCGGATATGGTGAACAACATTGTGCGGTGGAACAGTTGCGCTGAAGTTTGGACGAGTGAAACCGGGGTATTTGGCGAGAAGTTGTCGAAATGGATTCGCAGGTTCAGGGTTCAGGACGGCAAGTCGGCGGGACACTTCAGACGAAGAGATACCTCGGACGGTCAGCGTTGTGGTCTGGTCTTGTAGATGTGACTGACGACAGTCGCCCAGAAGATCAAAGAGGACAAGAACGTCTGCACCAAGTACAGCACAGGGCACGTTGGCAGCGACAAAGACCCAAGGGAATAGACGACGGAGGCCAATGTGCAGTGAGCGTGAGCGGATGCCCAAGCTGGCGATTGACGATATGTTGACGGCCTGAAAGCCTCTTCTTTCCCAAGCGTATGATAACGTTGAAGATCGGAAACGGCGATTAGAGGATGAAGTTCAGCCTTCAGCTTGGAATATGGCGCATCAGCTGGACGATCAAGAAGAAATGTTTGGACCTGAGAAAATATGGTGGGAGGAATGTTTTCAATCAATTTATAATACTTGTCTATCTCTTGGGTCATTATGGCCGAGACGAAGGTGGCCTCAATACGCATAAAGTGGAGTTCTGGCGCGTGTTACCAGAAATCTGGAAGGCAAAATTGAACTTTGTTAGAAGAGGCAACCACTGCTTTGGGGTCCGAGGAGATCATTATGAGATATTGCACTGGGGATAGAGGACTGGGTTCAAGAGGCAAGTATCAGCCAAAAGAATAAAAGCAGAAACGAGAACGTTGACAGGTCACCACTGTCGTGCACAATCTACCACGACACTATCGCTTTTGCTGGGGCGACACACGGCGCATCGCTCTGGTGGAAGCTGCCTTCCGCGGTGCCGGACGCACCCTTGTCCGGCTGCCAACCCTCCGTCAGTATTCGGTTCTCTGAATAAAATCTTCTTCCCAACCGACGTCCCACTTCAAACAACTTGGAATGTGACCTGAAGTTGTAGTGCATTGAGCATACCATATCATCGCTTAGCTGCTACGAAACCACCAACCCTGTGACTCCCATAGAGGCACCGCCTCACCAACAGTGCTAGAGATGTCCTCTCTCGCAGCCTCATCATCGACCTCAACGACCATCGGGAAGAAGGATCTCTGCTGGAAATCTCTCGGCTTCCACCGTCATCGAGGCAGCATCGATATGATTTTCGTCCCTCGCCAAATACAGGAGAAATGACAGGGGATGCGGATCTATTTTCACTCAACCTTCGCGGGTCTGACGAAAGCCTTCCACATGGTGAATCGTGAAGGACTGTGGAAAATTAAAGCAAGGATTCAGCTGTCCCGAGCGATACACTAAGATGCCGTGTCAACTCCACGATGGCATTACGGTGAGCGTTACTGGCAACTGAGCCGTCTCAGAGGCATTCACAGAGACCAACGGAGTGATGCAGGTCTGCGTCCTGGCGTCTATCCTCTTTAGTCTCTTGGCTTTTTACCATGCTGATGGACCCCTACCATGACGAACGCCGCAGGATCCGCATAACAGAACGCACGGCCAAATCTTGAATCAGCTGCTGATGCACTTCCAGTCGCGTGTACCCATAACTACCGTCCACCAACTGTGCTTCGCTGACGATTGCGCTTTCAAAGCCACCTCAGAAGGGAGCATGCAAAGAAGCATGGAGCCCCTCGCCGCCATCATGCTTTGCGGATTTCTTACTAAGCTGTTCTGCTAGAGTTTGTGCTCTGGAGACAGGGTACATTCAGCCTAATCTCAAACCGCTTTCCCACAAATAGAAGAAAATGCCCGTCATAGTCACACAGTAAGATCGTTTGACCCATGTGTTGCATTCCTGGAAACAAATGGGTCCCATTTTGTAAAGTGGAGTGTCGGCAAATTAATCGCCATAGTCAGAGCCTACCATGGTTCTAGCGGCAAATAATTCCTGCTCCAAACCAACCTTTTTCACCTAATCGGTAATCGAACGATAGTTCCACATGGCTGTGTGTTATTGTCCTCTGTGTTCAATTAGGCTATTGACTAGACTATCAAAGGCAAATTGAATATTTTGACACAGATGCTGCTTGCAGCTCCGTCAATCCGCTAGAACATCACCACTGGTCTCCTTTACGCTCAGATTGAAGATGTCATGTCCTTGCCAAAGTCCGCTGAATCTTCTGGTGCTTTGAGAATCTGTACCCTGTTTTTCGGTTTCGGTAGTGTTTCATTTGCGCCTAAGCGCCTGTCTTCTGATCGTGCTCACACCATTGATGCCGCCTTGCTGACCTACAGGCCTTGGAGTCGCGGATAGATGAAAAGGCTAAACCAGTCGGCTTATCCAAAAGCGTTCGGAGGGACAACGTGTTTTCGAGCTGCATCTGTAACCGGAACCAAACACACTTTGGGGCTAACGACTCTAAACATAAGGAGGTGGGCGTTACCAAATGTCCCGCAGTGTCGCTGTTAAGCAATGCATAACAAGGGGCGATATACTTTCATGAAACCAGGATCGACAAATCCAGGTTAAAGTACTGTGGCGACACAGTAATTCAACCTTTTGCATCCGGTCTCCAACACCCAAAGAGGGGGTTGGTCACACTTTCCAGATTCACTGTCTCAGATCGTCACATGTACAGAGGTACATTTCAATACACCACCGTACCCGGTTGGATTAGCCATGATCACAGATGCATCAATTACGTGTAAGTATTACCGCTCAATTTACTATGTACTCAAATAACCTTCGTTGAACTGAACTCTGCAATATCCTGTTTACTGATTTTTTTGGCTGAAGCCAGCAGGAGAAACGAGAGGGCATCTGAATCTTGTGTGTGGATAAAAGTTGAGCAGCAAATTAAAGATCTGATAGTATTCGAGGCAAAATTTCAAAACTAGCAACACCAAATTTATGACGATAAGCTGTGAAAGGGGAGGGTGCAAAGGAGATGCTCAGGTGTAGTGAAGATTAAACGACCTAAATCAAGAACGCAACAGCCCTTTACGAGTTTGCCTCGATGAAACTTTAAATTAACTTCAAAGCACCACTACGAATAGATAAACTGATTGGTCTTCGGTACGCCTAATTCACGCATTACTTCCAACGATAGTCAAATAACTATGTACAATTAGTGACTTTATTTGCGTTTGCTCATCTTCAAAAGAGTTTGTTAGCTTCTGATATGAGAAGCCCAACTTAGATGTGTTTTCTTTTTCCATGTGGATTTAAATTAGGTAATTTACTTTCATCTAGAGGTATGGTCGTGTTTGATTCTGCTAAATACATATAACCTTTATAATTGCTTAAATCCGACTTTTAAACATCACTCGAATTTGTCCTCCAAATAAGTTTGCATTTCTGTCAGGAGGAAGTTACTCTTCGATTCTATTTCAAGTAGTGTTCCTAGTAATAATAACTGAAGAATGGGCATCTACCCCTGTCCCTTGTTATTTTAGTCTAGTATTATCATTTCTGTACATGATACAGCATGATGAGCCCACTTCCAACGCGTGAGGAGTGGCAGGGTAGGAGGAGGAGGAATGGGAGGGTAGAAGGAGCAGCAGGGAAGATGGGGGGTGCGTAGACTGAAAATACACGGGGGTGGGGGTGGGAAGAGATGATGAGGAGGGAGAAGGTGAATGGGACCAGCATAATATGGATGAAGGGAGGGGTGACATCGTCGGGGAATGAGGTGAAGGATGGAACGGATGAGGAGACAAAGACGGTAGAATGACAATTTAGGTCTGCATAGAACCGTGAGTGTCTATTTTATCCTAAGCACTATTTTAGTCGTACACTCAATGGCCAGACGCACTGGCATTTCCGTTGGCAAAAACTCACTGAAGAGTGTTTGAGCAGTTTGTAATGATTATGGTGGAGGATTCCGCATGTTTTGTCACTCAATCGCTCACGCGGCAAAGCTCCTCAAGCCTTCGCGAGAAATGGTGACTTTGTCTGACTGAGAGCCTAATTAATGTGAGCGTTCCGCAGATCTGCGCAAACTAGGTCCCTGTCGTTCGATCTTGATCTGGGTGTCTTGAGGTCAGCGAAAAAATGCAAACACAGACACGCAAGGTTTGACGCGAACACATCATGCTCCACCCTGGTGCGACTGCGAGCTGCGAAGTGGCTTCGTATGGAATCATGTTAGAGGGGCAGCGTTATTTTTTGACGAAAAAGACACCGTCGCTTTAGGAGACGAATAACATAAACTAACGATTCGACGATGGTACGGTAGAGGAGCCCACCTAACTGTCGGTAGACTGTGATTCATGTCATACGGGAATTATGGTGATGGGGGGTTTTACGAGTGGAGCCTTTCACACTACCGTTGCCAACGGTTCTCTAGTGATTGCCAGCATAGGGTCTACTGAGTTATGTCACGCTTGAGTAATTGTGTCACATAAGTGGATATGCAATTACTAAGCGATGCGCTGCTGTGCTTTATACTGCAGAGCATTAAAATGGTTCTTAGTTCAACAGGGTGTAACTGCGTGTTTTTGAAAACCAGCCCTTATATGAGTCGACTACACCATTGCAGGAGCAAATGTTGGTTGTGAGTAATTCAAAAGGTGTACCTTCTGAAATCTTCTTCAGATGACACTGTTGGACAGTGAAATTATGTTCTACGAGCGATTGG